GGACCTCTTGGAGGCCTCTTGGGCCGTCTGGGAGGCCTCTGGGGGGCCTCTTGGGCCGTCTTGGGCCGTCTTGGACTCTCTTGGGCCGTTTTGGAGGCCGTCTTGGACCATCTCGGGCGGACTTGGAGGCCATCTTGGGCCATCTTCGCGATTTTTTGAGGATGTCCCGAGCGAAACGGCAGTTTTTGGGCAGTGAGAGATGGGTTTTGGGCAATGCGCGGGTGGCCGGCGGGACGGGCCGAAGCCCACTGGGGAGTCCGCCGCCCCCTGCTTGCAGAGGTGCACGGCGTGCTGGACGTTTCGGGTTTTGGTTTTGGTTCTTTTTCTAAAAGAACTCCCCAGTGGGCTTCGGCCCGTCCCGCCGGCCACCCGCGCATTGCCCAAAACCCATCTCTCACTGCCCAAAAACGGCCGTTTCGCTCGGGCCATCCTCAAAAAATCGCGAAGATGGCCCAAGATGGCCTCCAAGTTAGCCCGAGATGGTCCAAGACGGCCTCCAAAACGGCCCAAGAGAGTCCAAGACGGCCCAAGACGGCCCAAGAGGCCCCCCAGAGGCCTCCCAGATGGCCCAAGAGGCCTCCAAGAGGTCCTCCAGGAGAGTCCGAAGAGGCCAAAATCATTGATTTTCCATTGGTTTTTGAAGGATTTTGGCATTTGCGCCTTTTCGGCTCTCCGACGGCTCAAGACGGCCCAAGAAGCCCCCAAGATCGCCCAAGAGGCCCCCAAGAGAGCCCCATGATGGCCCAAGTGGCCTCCAAGATGGCCCCTAGAGGGCGCCAAGAGGGCCCAAGAGGCCTCCAACACGCCCAAGATGGCCTCCCAGACGCCCAAGATGGCCTCCAAGACGGCCCTGGAGCATTCCAAGCGGGCCCCAAGTCGGCCCATAGAGGCCCCCCAAACGGCTTCCGACGGCTTCAGACGTGCCAGGAACCCACCAAGATGGCCGAAGTTGGCTCGAAGCTGGCCCGAGACGGCCCAAAAAGCCCCAAAGATCGCCCAAAGCTTGCCCAAGAGGCCTCCAAGACGGCCAAGATGACCTTCAAGATGCCCACGTGTTCCCCGAAGGCTTTCCAAACCGATTCGGGGAACACGTGGTCCGATAGCTTGGCAGGTCTGGCCTCAACGTTCGGCCACATAGGCGTTTCCAAAAAGGCAGGGGGCGGCGGTGATTCGCCGTAGGCGTCTTCGATTCTTTTAGAAAATGAACCAAAACCAAAACCTGAAACGTCCAGCGCGCCGTGCACCCCTGCAAGCAGGGGGCGGCGGATCGAAGACGCCTACGGCGAATCACCGCCGCCCCCTGCCTTTTTGGAAGCGCCTATGTGGCCGAACGTTGAGGCCAGACCTGCCAAGCTATCGGACCACGTGTTCCCCGAATCGGTTTGGAAAGCCTTCGGGGAACACGTGGGCATCTTGAAGGTCATCTTGGCCGTCTTGGAGGCCTCTTGGGCAAGCTTTGGGCGATCTTTGGGGCTTTTTGGGCCGTCTCGGGCCAGCTTCGAGCCAACTTCGGCCATCTTGGTGGGTTCCTGGCACGTCTGAAGCCGTCGGAAGCCGTTTGGGGGGCCTCTATGGGCCGACTTGGGGCCCGCTTGGAATGCTCCAGGGCCGTCTTGGAGGCCATCTTGGGCGTCTGGGAGGCCATCTTGGGCGTGTTGGAGGCCTCTTGGGCCCTCTTGGGGCCCTCGAGGGGCCATCTTGGAGGCCACTTGGGCCATCATGGGGCTCTCTTGGGGGCCTCTTGGGCGATCTTGGGGGCTTCTTGGGCCGTCTTGAGCCGTCGGAGAGCCGAAAAGGCGCAAATGCCAAAATCCTTCAAAAACCAAGGAAAATCAATGATTTTGGCCTCTTCGGACTCTCCTGGAGGACCTCTTGGAGGCCTCTTGGGCCGTCTGGGAGGCCTCTGGGGGGCCTCTTGGGCCGTCTTGGGCCGTCTTGGACTCTCTTGGGCCGTTTTGGAGGCCGTCTTGGACCATCTCGGGCGGACTTGGAGGCCATCTTGGGCCATCTTCGCGATTTTTTGAGGATGTCCCGAGCGAAACGGCCGTTTTTGGGGCATTGACAGACGGTTTTCGGAAATTCGCGGGTGGCCGGCGGGACGGGCCGAAGCCCATTGGGGAGTTCTTTTAGAAAAAGAACCAAAACCAAAACCTGAACGTCCAGCACGCCGTGCACCCCTGCAAGCAGGGGGCGGCGGATCGAAGACGCCTACGGCGAATCACCGCCGCCCCCTGCCTTTTTGGAAGCGCCTATGTGGCCGAACGTTGAGGCCAGACCTGCCAAGCTATCGGACCACGTGTTCCCCGAATCGGTTTGGAAAGCCTTCGGGGAACACGTGGGCATCTTGAAGGTCATCTTGGCCGTCTTGGAGGCCTCTTGGGCAAGCTTTGGGCGATCTTTGGGGCTTTTTGGGCCGTCTCGGGCCAGCTTCGAGCCAACTTCGGCCATCTTGGTGGGTTCCTGGCACGTCTGAAGCCGTCGGAAGCCGTTTGGGGGGCCTCTATGGGCCGACTTGGGGCCCGCTTGGAATGCTCCAGGGCCGTCTTGGAGGCCATCTTGGGCGTCTGGGAGGCCATCTTGGGCGTGTTGGAGGCCTCTTGGGCCCTCTTGGGGCCCTCTAGGGGCCATCTTGGAGGCCACTTGGGCCATCATGGGGCTCTCTTGGGGGCCTCTTGGGCGATCTTGGGGGCTTCTTGGGCCGTCTTGAGCCGTCGGAGAGCCGAAAAGGCGCAAATGCCAAAATCCTTCAAAAACCAAGGGAAAATCAATGATTTTGGCCTCTTCGGACTCTCCTGGAGGACCTCTTGGAGGCCTCTTGGGCCGTCTGGGAGGCCTCTGGGGGGCCTCTTGGGCCGTCTTGGGCCGTCTTGGACTCTCTTGGGCCGTTTTGGAGGCCGTCTTGGACCATCTCGGGCGGACTTGGAGGCCATCTTGGGCCATCTTCGCGATTTTTTGAGGATGTCCCGAGCGAAACGGCCGTTCTTGGAGGATTTTTTGCGGTCGTTGAGCACGTTTGGGGAAATTCCGGGTGGCCGGCGGGTTCTGCCGGAGCCCACTGGGAAGTTCTTTTGGAAAAAGAACCAAAACCAAAACCTGAAACGTCCAGCACGCCGTGCACCCCTGCAAGCAGGGGGCGGCGGATCTAGTGGCCTTCGGCCCATCCCGCCACCGGGCCTGGGTTGTGGGTCAGAGTTCTCAGGGATGCTGCTTCGGGTCTCTTCGGGGCGCTCTCGGGGGCCTCTTGGGAGCAGTCCTGGGGCCTCTCGGGAGCCTCGTGGGGGCCTCTTGGAAACCTCCTGGGGCCTCTTGGGAGTCTCTGAGGGCCTCTTCGGGGCCTCTTGGGGGCCTTCTTGGGGCCTCTTGGGGTCCTCGGGGCCGAGAGCTCGAAATGTTCGTTTGGGTTCCCAACCTGGGTCTCCTCTTGGGTTCGTCTGTGGGCCCTCTTGGGCCGTCCTGGGCGCCTTTTGGGCCGTTTGGGGCCTCTTAGGCCGTCTTGGGGCCCTCATGGGGTCCTGTGGGGCCGTCTTGGAGTGATCTGGGCTTCGTTGGCCGCCTCGGAGCGTTGGAAAGCCGAAAAGGCGAGCAGGTCAAAATTCTTCCAAGTCCATGAGAAATCTCTGAAGTTTGCCTCGAGGGTCCATCTTGGGACGCCTCTTGGAACACTCTTGGGAAGTCTTCGGGGCCTCTTGGGCCGTGTTGAGGCCATCTTGGGCGTGTTTGGGCACTCTTGGGCCTTCTCGGAGGCATCTTCGGCCCTCTTGGGTGCTTTTTGGGCCAATGTTTGGCCGGCTGCGTTGCCGGAGGACGCGCGCGACACGCCCGAGGAATCTCGGGTAATCCCAAGAAATCCCCAGAAATCCCAGGGAATCCCGGGGAATCTCTGGACATCCTCGGAAATCCTTGTACAATCGGTGGCCCGGGCCCTTGAAAACTTGTTAGAACCGTACATCTCTGAACTTTTCAGGGCTGCATGAGCCCTGGGGCACTCCACTACGTGCTGCAGGCAACGGTGGCAGATTTGTCTGACCTGTGTGTATATCTATATATATATATATATATATATATGCACGTAGATATGCAGACATACATACATGCACAGATGTGTGTAGAAAGTGGAGGGAGAGAGAGAGAGAGAGATGTATAGGGACAAGAGAGAGAGAGAGAGAGAAAAGAAAACAAAGAGCGAGATATAGAGAGAGAGAGGCAGAGAGAGAACGGGAGGGAGGGAGAGAGGAGGGATGGGGGGAAGTGAGGGAGGGATAGTGTGCATCACGTCCATTTCCCCATCATTATCTTGCCTCCAGGCCCCTCATCCTTCCTCCCTCTCCTCCCCCCTCCCCTCCCAGGCTCCATGCCCCCCTCCTCCCTCCTTTTTCCCTTCCCTTCTTCCCTCCCATCCCATCGCTATTCCCCTTCCACGTGGTCGAGGCGAATGGCTCCAGAAAGCTTGCATGGCTTGAGGCCGTTCGACCTTGACACCGATCGCATGGCAGCGTCTTATTTAGCCTTAGTTTACCTGTTATTACTGTCGCATCAGATCATATCAGGACTTAGCTTAGCTGGCAGCGTTTTTTTACTTACCATACAGTATCTTATTGTGCACCATATAGTTTCGTCTGCCAGTAAAGTACACTAGCTGGTCTTATCACGTCATAGATTTTGCCATCTCTCATCTACCAGTCTAGTCTGTTGTCTTCCTATGGTCGTATGTTAGACCATCGGGGTGCATTGTATCTCACACCGTATGACCCCATCTTATACAACCGTGTCTTATCCACGAGCGTCGTATAGTATAGTATCTGATCGTATCATATGTTACCACAGCTTGTTTTATCTTATAACGCCGTGTGCTGCATTATCTTAAATCAGCGTTTCATATATTACCTTATCATATATTGTATTATCGCTTCCTGCTTTTCCGCACCGACGAGAGGGCGCCAATGGGAGCAGGAGGGGCCCGGCGCGGCCGGCGGCGCGCGCCGTGCGCTCGCCTCCGCGAGGTCATGGAGTTGATCGACCACTTCGCCCTGAGCGACAGGCATCGAAGCAGAACGCAGTCGGCGGCGAGCGAGGGGGGAAGTGAGAGGAGGGGCGGGCAGTCTCCGAAGGTTCGGAAATCCCCCGGCCTTCCGAGACGTTTCTAAGTTCCCGCCGAAGACAGAGAAAATTTCTCAGAAGGCGCGAGGGCTTCTAAGAAGCCCCACCGCCGTCTGAGAAGGCCTTCTCCTTCTCGTTTCCCCCCCTCGCTCGACGCCGAAGCAGGGCATGGGCACAAGCCTTTGGGGTGACCGCGCGGCGATTTCCGTCCGGGCCTCCAAAATGGGGTCGGTGCAGGTGGGGTCGGAGGACCGCGCCGCATTTCCGATGCATCGGCGATGCGGCTCGATGTGGAGCCCGATGTTCTCCACGCCGGCATCGCGGATGCATCGCCGACGTCGCCGATGCATCGCCGATGCATCGGCGATACATCGGCGATACGGCGCAACCTTCTGACCCCATCTACTCGGACGACCCCATCTAGGAGGCCTGTATTCCTTGGCTCGGCACTGATTCCCTCCCTTGTCTGGCGCGCAGAGCGCGCCCAGGGCCCGTGGGGGGGTCAGCGCAGGCCCAAGAACTCCGCGCGGACCTCCGAACGTTTATGCTTTGCCGTCTGTGTTCTTCTAAGGCATGCGAGGATGCTCAACGAGCAGATGAAGAAACGCAACGATACCTTCGATGACCGGCAGGGTTGTTAGGTGGAGGAGAGGAGGGAGGGGGTGGAGGAGGAGGAGGTGGAGGAAAAGGGGGAAGAGAGGACAGAGGAGCAGGTCGTCCAGCGGCTTCGCGTAGAGCATGCTCGGTTTACTTTGACGACAGTCCAGGCAGTCATGTCAAGTACATAACGGAGGAGGAGGAGGAGGAGGAGGAGGTGGAGGGAGGAGGAGGAGGTGGAGGAGGAGGAGGAGGAGGAGGAGAGGAAGGAGGGAGGAGGGGAGGGACGAGAGAGAGGGAGGAGGGATGAAAGAGGAAGGAGAAGGGACGAAGGAGAGGAGAGCGGAGGAGGAGGGGAGAGAGGGAGGGAGGGAGGGAGGTAGGGAGGGAGGGAGGAGGAGGAGGGAGGGAGGGAGGGAGGGAGGGCGGGCGGGCGGGAGGGAGGGAGGGAGGGAGGGAGGGAGGAGGAGGAGGAGGAGGAGGAGGAGGAGAGATATGAAACCGCGCAAGTTCGAGTTCAGCCTTGCGGCTCACTTGACGGCGACAAGCGAAATCAGGGGCCTCAGCAAGTTTCTGGCTGAGTCATTTGAACAGGACTCAACAAATAGCAACAGCCCCTGTTTGAACTCCTCCAGATCAGCCTCATAGCAGAACAATCCGTACCTGCATCTTGCACAAACATGGGGGCCCGAAGACCATTGCTGATGCTGGCAACTGCTCAGAGGCGGCCCAACCGACCCCTAGTAAACCATCCCCTTCCGTGACGTCCCGCTCGCCTCGCCCTAGAACGCATGTATGCGGCCGGAGGGAAGCTCGAAAGGCGAGGATCACATGATTCCAGGCCTCTTAGATCGGGTCCGGTTAGATGAGGTCGGAGGATCGCGCCGCATCGTCGATGCATCGGCGATGCGGCTCGATGTCAAGCCCGATGTTCTCCACGCTGGCGTCGTCGAGGCATCGCCGATGCATAGCCGACGCATCGCCGATGCATCGGCGATGCATCGCCGATGTATCGGCGATGCGGCGCGATCCTCCTGCCCCATCTACTCCGACCTCATCTGGGATCGGCGGCGAGCGAGGGGGGGAAGTGAGAAGGGGCGGGCCTTCTCAGAAGGCTCGGAAGTCCCCCAGCCTTCTGAAACGTTTCCTAAGCCTTTCCCGAAGACAAAGAACACTTCTCAGAGGGCGCGAGGGCTTCTAAGAAGTCCCACCGCCTTCTGAGAAGGCCTTCTCCTTCTCATTTCCTCCCCCTCGCTCGCAGCCGAATCTTCTCCGACCAGATCTGGGAGGCCTCTAGTTTCAGAAGCCGGGCGACGGCTGGCAAACCCGTGGCTGCGAAAACGGAGCTCCGGGAAGTTGTTGTGTTTCCTTCCGGGAAGCGGCCCGTTTACCATTTCGTGCGCTGAGCTTGCTTCTGGGATTTCTTTCCTTCGGGAATGCCGTTTCGGTGGCCACGGATTTGCCAGCCCTCGCCCAGCTTCCGATAGATGCGGAAGGGGACGGTTAGCAAGGGTCGGGCGAAGAGAATTATGCACATGCACCGATCATGGCAAGGCCCATTTTTGACCCAGGATCGGTGCATATGCCTTCCTGGCCAAGGTAGGAGGGCGCATGCACCGATCCTGGGCTCAGGATGGGCCTGGCCAGAATCGGTGTATGTGCATAGTTCACTCTTTCGTGCGCTGAGCTTGCTTCCGGGATCTCTTCTCTTCCGGGAATACCGTTTCAGTAGCCACGGATTTGCCAGCCCTCGCCCAGCTTCCAGCAGTTGCGGAAGGGGACGGTTTGCAGGGGGTCGTGTTAAGGCCGCGCCCGACTTGTAGCCTTCGCCGTCGCAGATGCCAGGCCGAGGTGTGCCCGCGGGGGCCGCGGCCCAGCACGACGCGCCCGCGGGTCCTTCTGCATCGGAGGGCCCTGCAGCGCTGCCTCTGCCGCCCCCTGGGAGCAGCTGCTCTCGCCAGGGGTAACGAAAACTCAGGAGGTCTTCAGTCTTGAGGATCCCTCTCTCCCTCCCCCCTTTGTTCCTTTCGGCGGGGAACAAACTCCGCCCCTCTTCCTGCTCCTCCTCCTGATCCTCCTCTTCCTCCTCGTCCTCGTGGTTGCGCGGCGGGTGCAGCGGAGGAGGTGAGTACGGAGGGAGGGAGGAGGAGGACGAAAGAGGACCAGGAGGAAAAAAATGAAGACTAGGAGGAAGAAGAGGCGAAGCAGGTGGATAAACGACGGCAGAGGAGGAGGAGGAGGAGGAGGAGGAGGAGAGGAGGAGGAGGAGGAGGAGGAGGACGAGGAGGAGGAGGAGCAGGGGGAATTTGAAGAGGAGGAGAAGGAGGGAGAGGAGGAGGAGGAGGACGAGGAGGAGGAGGAGAAGGCCGAGGAGGAGAGAGGGAGAGGAGGTGGAGGAGGAGGGGGAGGAGGATGAGGAGGCGGAGGGGATGGGGGAGTGAAGATGATGACGACGATTACGACGATGTTGACGACGATAAGTATGACGATGATGATGATGCTGATGATGATGCTGATGATGATGATGCTGATGCTGCTGATGATGATGATGATGACGATGATGTTGCTGCTGCTGATGAGGATGAAGATGAGGAATCAGGATGACCATGAGGATGAGGATGAGGATGAGGATGATAAGATGAGAAGATGATGATGATGCTGATGATGCTGATGATGATGATGATGATGCTGATGATGATGATGCTGATGATGATGATGATGATGATGATGATGGTGGTGGTGGTGGTGGTGGTGGTGGTGGTGATGATGATGATGATGGTGGTGGTGGTGGTGGTGTGGTGATGATGCTGATGATGATGATGATGGTGGTGGTGGTGCTGATGATGATGATGCTGATGATGATGATGATGATGCTGCTGATGATGATGATGATTGATGATGATGATGATGATGGTGCGGAGGAGGAGGAGGAGGAGGAGGAGGAGGAGGAGCAGCAGGACAATAATGTGAGGAGGCAGAACAGGATTATGAGGAAGGTTGGGGAATGATGAGGGGGGAGAGGAGGAGGAGGGGGAGGAGGAGGTGGAGGAGAAGGAGGAGGAGGAGGAGGCCTGAGGAGGAGCAGGAGGAAGGATCATGAGGGAGGAGACGGGAGGAGGGAGAATAGCAGGAGGGCGTCAGGGGGTCCAAGGGAGGACGACCTCAAGGCCCTCTACGAGCTCCTGGGCAAGGCCAACAACCACGCGCAGAAGGCCCGGGTTTTCGTAGCCGGGATCGCGCCAGTCGGCTGGGGCCTCGCGGTTCGCGCTCCCCGCTTGCCATGCATTGCTTCGATCGTCGTCGTTCTCGTCGTCGCCATCGTCGTCGACGTCATTGACGCCTTGGCCGATGTCGTCGTTGTCGTCGTTGCCCGTGATTTCGTCGTCGTCGTCGTCGTCTTCGTCGTTGCAGGCGTCGTCGCACGCGGCCGCAGCGATCCCCTTCTCCGCAGAAAGGCATCGATACACCACCGGCCCAGGCATGGAGGGATTGTGCACCATACCAGGGCCAGTGCTGGCGGTGTATAGGAGGTTCTCCTGACTCGAGTCTTTTCGCTTCCATCCTCATTTCTCACTGGCACTGCCACTTCCTCCCCAGCCCCCCTTACCCTTCTCCCAGCCTTCTCCGAATCCAATGCTCAAATCCAGCCCACTTCTTTCATGGCGTGGTTGCGAGGAGGAAGCGTTTGGCTCATGAAGGCCGAGAGTCTGTCGTGGTTGGCATTTGGGCAGGCTGCGTGGTGCTGGGGTTGTTTAGATATTTCGAGCTTGTTGCTCGCCTTCGTTACTGAAGCATGTGCTGTTATGCAGTTCGTTGTTGCCTGTTGTTTACACTTGACATGTTGGTACTCTTTCGGTATGCTTTGCCACAAGTTCGTTCTAATGCTCGGCGTTCACGATGTACAGTAATCCGCATTCCGCCTTGTTCCTTCGTCCTCCTCCCTCCTCCCTCCTCTCGCAACTGCACTGCCGATTCCGTTGTCCAGGCCACAGTTCAGGTTGGCTTGTGCGATGTTGCTGGTTTGCATAGCGGCTTTTTGATTCGCGATGTGGTCGTGCCACCCTCGGCGTTTTGCGTGATCAAAAAAAGATGTTGTGTTGGTATGTTTGTTTCTCTGGATGTTAAAATGCATACTTGTTCGTAATGTTGGTTTCGGTAAGTGTTCCTTGATTTGCCGTCCTGGTGCTTTCAAGAGCGTACTCCATCCTGAGGGCTGACATTGGGGTTTGGAGCGGGGCCAGAGTGAGCCATGAAGAGGTCGAGAGGGGATTCGAATAATGAGGTGAGTTGGAGCAGGAGACGGCTGAGGAAGTGGAAGTGGAAGATCGAAGGATGAGGAGGGCGATTGACATGAGGATTAGCAGGAAGCATGAGGCACCACCTTCATTATTTGCAGTTTATGTTCTTTTGTGCATCGTGCCACTGTCTCACCTGGTCTATCCCGACGGTCGCAAATAACCATCTGGGGCGGTGGGTCTTGATGAAGACACGCGGCGGGACATGGGGGATGCCGGACAGTAGTGGAAGGCCATGGTCTGCGGATGGTGATGGTGGTGGCGATGTTGATGTTGCTATTGATGGGGCTTGGGATCTGGAGGACGAAACAGATATAGTCCTTATGGTGGTGATCATGATGATTAGGAGGAGGGAGGAAGAGGGGGAGTCGGAGGAGGTGGAGGGCGGGAAGGGGGGAGGTCCTCAAGAGCCTGACGACTTTTCGCCAGTCGACTCGTGATCAAGCTGGACAAATCGAGGTACATGCAGGTAAATCGAGGTACATCTGGGCAACAACATCCCGGTATATCCAGGTAGATCCGGGTAGATACACGGATCCCAAAGGACCCCTAGGGAAGATCGCGGTCGTTCCAGCGCGAGTCGAGGGACGGCGGGGGTCGTGAAGCCCTTCACGGGGAGGCGCCGCGCGCATTGTGCGGCCTGCGGGGAGCCAGTGGCGGGGAGAGTCGGCGCCACTCCAACATGATAATATCGTGTGTGCGTCCTCCCCCCCCCGGGAGAGACGAGCGCACCGAGACATCTTGTAGTATGGGCGTCGTGGTGGGCGGTTTCTGGCCACGCCGCTCGGGAAACGAGGTACTACAGGAGGGGAAGCCCGCCAAAGCGAGACAGCGAGGCCCGCGTGCAGCTCTCGCATTGTGCGCATATGCTGCCCAGGCGCCGTGCCGTAGGCTGGCGCATGGCTTCTGACTGGGAGGAGGAGGAGGAGGACGAGGAGGAGGAGGACGAGGAGGAGGAGTAGCAGGACGAGGAGGAGGAGGACGAGGAGGAGGAGGACGAGGAGAAGGAGGAGGAGTACGAGAAGGAGGACGAGGAGGAGACTGGGAACACAATCTGTATTCGGGTCGGACGTGCGCCTCCCCAAGAAGGACATATATATATAGTATGAGTATGTCTCCGTGCGTCCCAGAGAGAAGTCTGCGCTACGAGGGCCGGGGCGGGGAGCGAGGGCGGAGGGGGAGGAGGAGGGGGCGGAGGAGGAGGGGGTGGAGGAGGAGGAGGAGGAGGAGGAGGGAGGAGGAGGAGGAGGAGGAGGAGGAGGAGGAGGAGGAGGAGGAGGAGGAGGAGGAGGGGGAGAGAGGAGGAGGGGGAGGAGAAGGGTGGGGAGAAAGGGCAGAGGGGAGGGGATCGAGGGAGGGCAGGGCTCGGCGGGCCCCCGGGGCGGCCAGCCACGCCGCGCCTCCCGGACCTCCCGCCTCTCCCTTGCGCTCCTCCTCCGGGGCAGGGCCGGTGTGCATCTGCACATGTAGGTACACACGTATACCTGATTCCTCCCCGTGCTCCCTCCCAGGAGCGAGGAGGAGGAGGAGGAGGAGGAGGAGGAGGAGGAGGAGGAGGAGGGGTCGGAGGAGTGGACAGGCAGCGGGTAGTAGGAGGAGGATCTGTGCAACCGTTCGCTCCCACTCCCTCCCATCCACGTCCCACTCCCCCTTCCACTCATCCTTTCCTCGCTCCTCCCCGCTTGCTCGCTGCTGCTTCTTCCTCGCTCCTCCCCAGTCCTCCCTGGGGTCCTCCGCCATCCTCCCCTTCCTCCCCTCCCTCCCTCCTTCCTCCTCCCTCCCTCCTCCCTCCTCCTCCCTGTCCTTTATCCTCTTCCTTTCACTCCCACTCCATCCGTCCCCCTTGCACTCCTCTCTTCTCGCTTGTCCCCTCCCTCGCTTGCCCACTCCCTCCCTCCTCGCTCCTCCCCGCTTGCTCGCTACTTCCTTTTCCTCGCTGCTCCCCCATCTTCCCTCTTTCCTTCCCTTTCTCCACAATTGCATTGCGGCCGTGCGGGGCGTCGGACGGCGCCGGTTCTCTACGCTCACTGACCCTCAGTTCCCTTCAGCTACATTCAGTTCCATTCAGCTACACTCATTTTATCTCAGTTGCTCTTCGTTTTCCAAACTTGTTTTTCCTGTGCACCCAGTTTCTTTCAGTTACATTAAGTTTTTCCTGTATGCTCAGTTTCCCTCAGTTGCACTCAGTTTAGCTGTACAATCATTTTCCCGCAGGCACACCGAGTTTTTTACATACAGTTTCTCGCAGTTACACCCAGGTTCCTTGACTTGCATCCAGCTTCCTTTAGTTACACACGGTTCCCCCCAGTTGCATTCAGTTTGTCTGGTTCTAGATTCACTTCCCATTTGCGTCAGCGCAGACTGCAAGAAACTGCACATTCGGTGGAACAGGGAGCGCTCCGCTATTCACACCTTCCTCCTCTTCCTGTTGCAACAGACTGAGGGCGACTTAGTGTAATAGGGTCCGCCCCATGGCCTATGGTTTCATCTTCCTCCCGCCCACCGCTGAAGCCGGCGGGGGGGAGTGGGGGAACGCCTGGCTTTGCGAATAGAGAGGGTTTCAACGCAATGGAAGCGGTTGGGGGGAGAGGGGTATGACGTCAGACGTGGCGCAAGCACGCCTAGCTTGCCTCTTCCCCTATCCACTTCCCCCAACGAGGACCAGAGCGTGCACTGATAGTCGGCACGCTCGGCGTGCGCACGACACGCTGAGTTGACGGTTCACCCCCCATCTTCCTCTCCTTCTCCTCATCCGCCTACTCCTCCTCCTGCTCCTCGCGGCAGCCTCTGCAGACCTCTGCAGAGAGGGGGAGCAGGAGGAGGAGGAGGAGGTTCTCGAGGCCGGGGGATTGTGGAGTCGCTATGGGTTCCAGACGAGTTTTTACGATCTTTCACGTTGCTCCTCATCATTACCCTTACCATTACCATTTCCATTACCATTGTCATTGTCATTGCCACTACCACTACAACTACCACTACCACTACCCTTACCATTACCTTTACCATTACCATTCACATTCCCACTACCATCACCATTGCCATTGCCAGTACCAGTACAATTGCAATTGCCAGTCCATTCACACTACCGTTACCATTTCCAATACCATTACCATTACCATTACAGTTGCCATTGCCATTGCCATTGCCAGTACCATTACCTTTACCTTTACCTTTGCCTTTTACCTGTACCCTTGCCATTACAATTCCCATTTCCGTTACCACTACCACTACCATTTTCATTCCCATTCCCATCTCAATTCCCATTCCCATTCATATCACCATTACCATTACCATTTTGTTTTACCTTTATTTTTACCTGTGCCATTACCATTACCATGACCATTACAATGGCCATTACATTGCCATTCCCACTGCCATTGCCATTACCGTTGCCATTGTCATTGCCATTGCCATTGCCAGTCGCTACCCCGTTACCATTACCATTACCAGTACCAGTACCAGTACCATTACCACTACCACTGTCATTGCCATTGCCATTACCATTACCATTAGCCACTACCATGACCATTTCCATTACCGTTAGCATTACCAGTACCATTGCCATTGCCATTACCATTACCATTACCAATGCCATTACCGTTGCCATTACCATGACAATTCCCATTCCCATCACCATTGTCATTATTATTACCGTTACCAGTACCATTACCATTACCATTACCATTGCCATTACCATTACCATTACCATTACCACCACCATTTCCATTCCCGTTCCCGTTCCAATTACCATTACGGTTCCCATTCCCATCCCCATCCCCATTCCCATACACATGACCATTACCACTACCATTACCATTACTTTTACGATTACCATTACCATTACCATGACCATTACCATTACCATTGCCATGGCCATTGCCATTGCCATGGACATTACCATTGCCATTGCCATTGCCATTGCCATTACCATTACCATTACCGTTGTCATCACCATTGTCATTGCCATTGCCAGTCGCCACCCCGTTACCATTGCCATTACCATTACCGTTACCGTCACCATTACCATTACCAGTACCATTACCATTACCATTGTCATTACCATTACCATTGTGATTGCCATTGTCATTGCCATTCGCCACTACCATTACCATTGCCAGTACCATTACCATTCCCATTGCCAGTCCCAATGCCAGTACCATGACCATTTCCACTACCATTACCATTGCCATTGCCATTACCATGACCCTTACCTCTACCCCTACCTTTACCCTTACCATTCCCATTTCCGTTACCACTACCACTACCATTTCCATTCCCGTTCCCGTTCCCATTCCCATTCACATTCCCATTCCTGTTCCTGTTCCCATTCAGATTACCATTGCCATTGCCATGACCATTACCATTGCCATTGCCATTGCCCTTGCCATTGCACATCCCATTGCCATTGCCACTGCCAGTACCAGTACCGTTGCCATTGTCATTGTCATTGCCATTACCAGTCGCTACCCCGTTACCATTACCATTACCAGTACCATTACCATTACCATTGTCATTACCATTACCATTGTGATTGCCATTGTCATTGCCATTCGCCACTACCATTACCATTGCCAGTACCATTACCATTCCCATTGCCAGTCCCAATGCCAGTACCATGACCATTTCCACTACCATTACCATTGCCATTGCCATTACCATGACCCTTACCTCTACCCCTACCGTTACCCTTACCATTCCCATTTCCGTTACCACTACCATTACCATTTCCATTCTTGTTCCCGTTCCCATTCACATTCCCGTTCTTGTTACCATCCACATTACCATTGCCATTGCCATGACCATTACCATTTCCATTGCCATTGCCATTGCACATCCCATTGCAATTGCCATTGCAAGTACCAGTACTGTTGCCAGTGTCATTGTCATTGCCATTGCCAGTTGTTACCCCGTTACCATCACCATTACCGTTACCATTACCATTACCAGTACCATTTCCATTACTTTGTCATTACCATTACCATACCATTGCCATTGCCATTAGCCACTACCATTACCATTGCCATCACCCTTATCGTTACCATTACCATTACTTTTACGATTACCATTACCATTACCATTACCGCTGTCTTTACCATTACAATTCCCATTCTCATTCCCATTCCCATTCCCATCACACTTGCCATTACCATTACCACTTCCATTACCATTACCATTACCAGTGCCATTACCATTACCAGTGTCACTACCATTTCCATTTCCGTTCCCATTCCCATTCCCATGTCCATTACCATTACTTTTACCATTACCATTATCATTGCCATGGCCATTACCATTGCCATTGCCATTGCCATTGTCATTGTCATTCCCATTGCCATTGCCATTGTCATTGTCATTGCCATTGCCAGTCGCTACCCCGTTACCATTATGATTACCGTTCCCATTACCATTACCAGTACCATTACCATTACCCTTGTCATTACCATTACCATGGCCATTGCCATGGCCATTGACATTCGAGGATGTCAGTAGGAATCATTCAGTGGAGGGTTTCAGTAGGAATCCACATGTTGAGGATTTCAGTAGGAATCATTCAGTGGAAGGTTTCGATGGGAACACTTCTGTCAAGGATTTTACTATGAATCCTTCTTGTGGGGGCGTTCAATAGGAATCCTTCTGGGGGGGAGGGCAGATGAGGCCCCGTCGTATTCCTTGTTTTTCGCCGCCAACGCCCCCCCCAATATATATATATATATATACATATATATATAGATTTATGTATATGTATCAAAAAAAGCGAATCTCAAGTCCGACTTCTTGGGGGAGGGACACCAGGAGAAGAAAAAGGCAGAGAGGGAGGAGGAGGAGGAGGAGGAGGAGGAGGAGGAGGAGGAGTAGGAGGCGGAGGAAGAGGAGGAGGAGGAGGAGGAGGAGGAGGAGGAGGACGACACAGAGCAGAGTTTGCACAGAAACAGTCGCGAACTCAGCGCGAAAGCCTCGCGCGCGCGCTTTTGAACCCCTGCGACTCCACAATCCCCCGTTCTCGAGGAGGAGGAGTAGCGAGAGGAGGAGGAGGAGGAGGAGGAGGAGGAGGAGGAGGAGCAGGGGGAGGATGAGGGTGAAAGGGAGGGTGTCGAGGAGGGGGAGGAGGGGGACGAGGAGGGGGACGAGAAGGAGGAGGAGGAGGAGGACGAGGAGGACGAGGAGGATCCGCTTCTTCCTCCTCCCTCGTCGCTCCCTCCCGGCTGCTCGAGAGAAGGCCGACCTTCTCAGCATCAACATCCGCTGGATGGCCGAGGGTGTGTTCAACGGCATAGAGACGCCGAGCAGAGCCGTCGCGAAGGCCCGCAGAGGATCGAGGAGCAGGATCGAGAAGGAGGATCGATGATCGAAGAGGAGGGTTTTTGACAGCGAGCGCCAGCATGGAGAGAGGGAAGCAAGGCTGGCATGAGACTGCACAACAGCTCACACACACAAAACGGCTTGCACAACTCAACTCACACCAGATGGTTCGCACAATGTAGCTTACACAGCATAGCCACAAAGCTTCACAGCACATCGCTTGCACAGCATAGCTCACACCACGTAGCTCACACCGCAAAGCTTGCACAACATGCCTTGCATCTTGTAGCTTGCTTGCACCTCCACAGTTCAATGCCTCACTGCTTGGGTTCCACGCTGGCTAACATTTCCCGACGGTTCTTGGCAGACCGAGTAACTCTCGCTCCTTCTGCCCTCCGACCGCCCAAGATGTTTCAAGAGGCTTCCAAGACGGCCATTGCGGACCTTCAGAGGTCCCCAAGACGACCCAAAACCTTTTCAGGACGGCCGACGATGCCTTCCCCTTAGCCTCTTTGGCTAAAGCCCAGTGCTGCTATTGCTGGCTTGCACATTGCTTACCACCTGACATATGCATTTCTGTCTACCACTTGCGCAGGCAACTCGGTCCAGTTAGTGGGACGACAGCCCAGAGAGCGCCCTTGACCACGACACCGGTTGGGCTTGTTATCCATGGCGTACAAAGCCGCTCTTTATCTCAAGATTGGGCATTCAGGTGTGAACGCAACGGAGGAGTGTCTGCAGTGCTCTGGTCCTGCTACGGAGCGTGCGGTGCCGCGGCGTGCTCCGACGTATTCGTTGTTTTTGTGCTTCGGTCGGTGCGGGTCGTTTCGTGTACTGGTATAACTCGTACCAGTCCTGCAACATCGTGGTTGCATTTTGGGGCTCAAGAGACGGGCGTCAATGCAAACGGCGGTCAGTGAGAGTGCCAGATCCTGCAGAATCCTGCAGGGCCAGGGGCGCACTGATCCGGGCTTGGGTGCAGGATCCTGCAGGGTCCTGCAGGATGTTGCAGGATCATGCAAAGCCCGACTGACCCTGGTTTGGATTGACCAGGGTCAGCAGATCCCCGATACATCTACTTCGGGAGGCCTGCGCGGGCGGGCAGACCACACATGGGCAACCTCGGGAGGACGCAAGATCAGCATCGACATGTACCCGGGTGGTGGGACAGGCGCAGACGGAATGTGCAAGAAGTGCGGCAGTTATGATTGGGGCGAGAGTGGGGAAGAGCATGCTACGACTGGTTCCTCTGTGTGTTCCGATTTCTGGTCAAACGGAGACGATCATGGCGTGCCGATGGGATGAAGCAGAGGTACCATATTTTTAGAAGTCGGATCGTTCCACGGCCTTTCCGAAGCCGTACCCGACAGCCGTTCCGACGCCGTACCCGACGGTTTTGTTCGACGCTGCATCCGACGGCCTTCCCGACGCCCTACCCGACGGCTTTCCCGATGCCCTTCCCGACGCCCAGCCCGACGCCCAGCCCGACGTATCCTCAAAGTTGCCCGACGCTCATCCAACTTTCCCTCCTGCAGCTCCCATAGCGAGTGGAGCTGGAGCCGCGGTTGTTGGCATTGGCGACCAGCATTTGCAGAACATCCATGGTGAGCGGATCGAGATGACGAGGCCTGGCAAGTACGATTTGATTCATATTCCGCCTGGGAGCTTGTTGGAAACGCTATGCTTCGTGTCGAGGTTGAGGCACATCGATGGGGTGAGGAGTGTGAAGACGTACTTCAACCGATTCCATGCCGCCCATGTCCCCCACTCGCACCGCAGCAGCCCTGACGTCGCCACGACCGCTTGTTGGATCCAGGGCGCCGCCGGTCAAAAGAGTTTCGCCTCTTGTGCGGCCATCAGCTCTTTGTCTGGGATCTGCGACCTTTGCGCTGAGCGCGCGTTGTCAGAACCCGCAAGATCGTAAGCGAGTTTGCCAGGATTCTTCAGGTTGCGGCAGAAAGCGTCGCAAGCAAGACGATTATGATGAATTCTGATGTTCCCTGCTGTTCTTTCAGGGGCAACGATATGGGGGGATAGGCATAGGGGGGAATGCATCGACCCCCAATCGCCCATTGATCGCCGATAGGGGCCCGATAGCCCCACCCAGCCCAGGAAGGATTCACTACCGGGGGCCTACCGCCGATGTATCGGCGATGTATCGCCGATTCCAGGTCGATGCATCCCCCCTATGCCAGTCCCCCCTCTGTCGGGGCCCCTCATACTCGTGAGGCCAGCCTGTCGAGCGTCAGACCCCGAGAAGGTTTCAATGACGGTGGTCCCTTCGGTCAAGCTCCGCGTGCCGGCGAGGCCTTGCTTATGGGGTGGGCAGGCCGAGCCCGCCATCTCCCCTGCCTGCATGGACCAGAAATCCTCCTCCTCCTTCTGCGCCTCGTCCTCCTCCTCCTCCTCCTCCTCCCCCTCCTCCTCCTCCTCCTCCTCCTCCCCCTCCTCCTCCTCCTCCACCCACCCACCCACCCACCCACCCTCCCTCCCCCCCTCCCTCCCTCCCTCCTCCCTCCCTCCCTCCCTCCCTCCCTCCTCCTCCCTCCTCCTCCTCCTCCCCTCCTCCTCCCCTCCTTCCTCCTCCTCCCCCCCCTCCCGCCTCCTCCTCCTCCTGCTCCTTCTCCTCCTCGTTCCTCCCTCTCCTCCTCCTCCTCCTCCTCCTCCTCCTCCTCGTTCCCCCCTCCTCCTCCTCGTTTCCCCTCCTCCTCGTTCCCCCTCCTCCTCTCCTCCTCCTCCTCCTCCTCCTCTTCCTCCTCCTCCTCCTGGATGCCTTGCCCGAGGGGCGCGCAGGGGAAGACGGGCATGTGCAGCCTGCGTTTTCGAGATCCTTGAAGATCCCGAAGCAAGAGCGCCGGTCAGCGCCGAGGACTGGGACAGGACCTGCGCGGGCGCTGCGCAGTGGGAGGCGATATATGGGAAGCAGGGAGGAGGCAGGGGGCAGAAGGAGTTGGCAGGAGGGAGGAGGGAGGAGGAGCAGGAGGAGGAGGAGGAGGAGGAGCAAAAAGCGTTTTGTTCTCCCCCCCTTGACTGCGCCCCCCCCTTCAAGACAACTCCCAGCCTGTGGGTGTGGAGGCCTGCTCGGGTCCGTGCTTGTGGAGCTGGTCGTCGACCTCGTCGTCGTCGTCGTCGTCTTCGCCGCCGTCGTCGTGTCCGCCGTGGTCGTCGCTCTCGTCGCGGGCGCCGCCGCCGCCGGCGCCGCCGTCGTCGCTGTCGTCGTCGTCGTCGTCGTCGTCGTCGCGGTCGCAGTGCTCCGCCACCTCCACTTCCTCCTCCTGATCCTCCTCCTCCTCCTCCTCCTCCTCCTCCTCCTCCTCCCTCCCTTCGTGCTCCCGTCCCTCGGTTGCACGACCAGGCCTGGCGCTGGTCCTCCTCCCTCTCCTCCTCCCTCCCTCCCGAGGCGATGCGGAAGTTCAAGCTGGACGGGCCGTCGTGCTGCAAGCTGGCGGAGGCCCCGGCGGCTCGCCGCGCCCAGGAGTGGGGCGGGCCAGGGCCGCGGGGCCCAGCCGACCGAGAGGTCCCATGGGTCAGGAAGGAAAAAACACAAAGACACAATTAATCGTCGATCCCCAGAAAATATGGGAAAATATGGGAAGTGGGGGGGAAGACGAAAACCCAGAACATGTGTAAAAATATGGGGAATCTGGTTATTTGTGTGTATTTATTTGTGTGTCCCAGGGCCCCTTCAGCTGTGCTGGCCTGCCCGGCTCGCCGCGGACCTCGTGGTGCTCAGAAGGCGCGTGCGCTTACTATCGTCATTGTTGTGATTTGTATGATCATTATCAGTCGTGTTCTTAGTAGTATACTTATTATTTGTTCTATTGCACGTCTTCTTATGCTTTCGATTGTGACAGCATTAGATTAGCATCATCCCTAAGATTATGCTAAGTGTGATTATGATTCGTGTTATTCTGGATTGCACATGCAGCAGTGTTACGCTATTTGAAATGCGCCCCACTTGCCCCACTTGCCCCACTTGCCTCACTTGCCCCCACTTGCCCCACTTGCCCCACTTGCCCCACTTGCCCAAGTGGGGCAAGCGGGGCAAGTGGGGCAAGTGGGCCAGGGCAAGTGGGCCTCCTCATTTCCGCAATGGAGAGCGGGCGGGCGGGGCAAGTGGGGCAAGTGAGGCAAGTGGGGCAAGTGGGGGGAGAAGGAGTAGGGGAGGAGGGGAGGAGGAGGGGGAGGAGGGAAAAAGAAGAAAGCAGTCAGTCAGCTAGAGGGCGCAGTGCATCCTGACTCCCGCGTGCCAGTCAGAGGGATTCTGTAGCAGAGCTAATAGCGTGGCAGGGTCGTTGCCCGCCAGTGGTAGGGACTCGCCCGCCCAGGCGAGTTTAGGTGACCAAGGAAGTGTGGAAGCAAAGGAGGGGACATCCGAACCGAGCGAAGGAGGGAGGAGGAGAACGAGGAAAATGGATGGATGGATGGATGGACGGATGAGGGAGTGGGGAGAAGGATGATGAATAGGAGGAGGAGGAGGAGGAGGAGGAGGAGGATAAGGAGGAGGCAATGAGCGAGCCGAATAACCAGAAGCCTCTTGAACGCCTTTTCGGAGTCTCCTCGAATGTCACTTGGAAGTTGTTCGGACGCCCCTTGAGGCGTTTTGGGAGTCTCTTGGCGGTCCAGGGGGGCTCTTGGGCGTCTTGGGTGCCTCGGGGGGGCCGCTTGGGGTCCTTTTGCGGGCCTCTCGGGGGCCTCTTGGGAGCCTTTTGAAAGCCTCTTGGGGGCCTCTTGGGAGCCTTTTGGAAGCCTCCTGGGGGCGTCTTGGTGCCATCTGGGGGCCTCTTGGGGCTTACTGGGCGCCTCTTGGGGCCATCTTTGAGGAGATCGATCAAAAAAGAGGGGCTCTCCAATTAGCGCTGCCACTCGGGAGCACCGAAACTCGCCTCCTGGACCCTTTTTGGGGCGCTCTTGATCGTTCTTGGGCCGTATTGAGGCTGTCTTGGGCCTCTCTTGGGGTCCTATTGGGCCATCCTGGAACAATCTTGAAGCCTCGGATGGCCATCGGAAGCGAAAAGGCGAAAAGGCAGAACTCATTGATTTTCTCGTGGTTTTCGAAGGGTTTGGACTTCTTGGGGGCCTCCTTGGAGGTTTCGAAGGCCTCTTGGAGCCGTCTTGGAACGTTCTTGGGGCCTCTTGGAGCATCTTGGGAGCCATCTTGAGGCATCTTCGGCTATCTTGAGCAATCTTGGAGGCCGTCTTGGGCTCTGAGGCGCTCTGGAAGCCGTCTTGGGCCATCTTGGACGCCCTGACCGCTCGCCCCCCCCCCGTCCAGGTCCAGAGGAGGGGGTAAGGGGGAGGGGAAAACCCCTCCCCGAAGAGGAAAAGGGGGTTGGAAGATGAAACTCCGTAGACCTCCTACGCCCAGAGGGCTGGTGGGGTTCCCAAAGAGAGCCTGGACCCCCGATCCAGTTTTCAACATGAATTCTTCGGAGGCTAGCTTTGCATTGGGAAAACGCATAGGATCCAGCCCGCCCCCGGCGATTCAAAACATGACTAAAACATGAAATATGCATTATTCATATTTCTGGGAGCGAGCATGATTCGTTGTTTTTTCCATATGAAAACCGTGTCGGGGAAAGGTATGTTGAAAACTCGGCGGTTTCCTTGGGGACCTCCAGAGGGATTTGGGGGTATTCGGGCTCCCCCTTCGAGGGCGCGTGTGGGCTCCCGGGTGGGCTCTGGATGTTTTCGTGGGAGCACGTGGACCTGCGACAAAGCCCCTAGGAGGCACGTTGTCCGAGACGCGCCAAGAGGCGCGCCTGAGAGTGGGGATCCTCGCCCGCACCACTTGACCCCACTTGCCCCACTTGCCCCACTTGCTTCGGGTCCCGCGCGGGTCGGGGGCAAGTGGGGCAAGTGGGGCAAGTGGGGCAAGTGGGGCCAATTGAGCAAGTGGGGCAAGTGGGGCAAGTGGGCAGATTTCAAATAGCAAACACCGCAGCATGTCCTCTCTTATTCTGGATGTTCTTCTTATTAGAAGTCTTAAAATTTGTAATTTTATTGATCAATATTACCACAGATTGACACATAATAGGAACATAGTAATGCTTCGCGTCTGCAGGAGGATGAAGGAATGTAGGCGGGAGAGGGGCGAGGACGAGCTAGGAGCGTTCGCGCCACATCTGGCGTCCGACCCCTCCTCCCAATCCCCTGCCACTGGGCAGAGCGTGGCCCCCCCCCCCGCTCTATGCGCATACTACCCCGGGCGTGTTGGAAGGAAGGCCTGGGTCCCGACGGGGCAGGCGCCGCACAGCACAGCAAGGCCCAGCATGGCGTCGGTATTTCTGATTATTGTTCGGCTAGTTGTCATTTGTCTCTCAAAACCCGCCTGTGGGAGGATATGCCCGACCTAAGCGTAGCATGGCATAGGTTGGCGTGGCATTACGCAGCCAGGCATTGCATCCTACAGCATTGCGTAGCAAGGCATGGCATCGGAAAGCTGCGAATCATGCAGCATCGCATCATATTGCGTGCCGTGGCGTGGCGACAAGCTAGTATGGCCTGGCATGGCGTAGCCAAGCATTACATACCACATTGACATGACGCCAGCTTAGCTAAGACTGGATGTCGCATAAATAGTAAAACGGACGGGCATCACAGAGAGGACATGACGCCAGCGATGCAGCGGGAGCGCTTCTGAGAGGAGTTAGACCAACGCTACAGTAGGGACACCATTGGAAAAGGACCCGAAACGCGGGAATGAGGTCAGCGTTTCCGCGGGATTTCGAAAGGGTGGTAAACGCTCATCTTGGAACACGCATGGTACAGAAACGACACGTGGTTTGGAACCCTGCGTGTAAAACGCAATACGCGTATGGGGGCGCGACGCTCCCAACACGTCCTCGGGGGAAGCATACCAGCAGTATACACAATGTGCACTTGCTGAGGAGGAGGAGGAGGAGGAGGAGGGGCAGGCGGAGGGGGAGGAGGAGGAGAACGAGGACGAGGAAGAGGAAGACACGGAGGAAGAGGAGGAGGAAGAGGAGGATGAGGAAGTAGAGGAGGGAGTGGAGCAGGAGGAGGATGAGGAGGAGGAGGAGGAGGAGGAGGAGGAGGAGGAGTCGAGATCATCGAAGTTTCGGTCGGCACATCTTGCAGCCTAAGAGCGTAAGAGTTGGATGAGCTGGAAGAGGAGGAATACTTGCTTGAGGAGTTGGACGAGTTGGGGGAGGAAGAGTTGGATGCTGGAGGTTGGAGTCAGTTAATGTGATGCTGATGCTGATGCTGATGCTGGTGCTGGTGCTGGTGCTGGTGCTGGTGCTGATGATGAGAAGGATGAGCATGATAATGAGCATTTTGGGGAGGACAACCTAGGAGGAGGGAGTAGGAGGAGGGGGAGCGCTCCGCTCCCATGGCGGCTTCAGGCTTCCAGCCCCAACGGTTCTCGCAGGAAGACTGAAGGATGGCATGCACAAACTTGCTTCCCCTGTGCGCGCGTGCGTAGTCCGTGCAGAACCCCAGTGTAGTCTCCCTAGTGGTTCCCACGGGATGCCCACATGTGGTGCTTCCCGTTGCGCCGATGCCGGTGCGCCCCCCGCCCCCAGCATTGCGGAGCATCCGCAATTCGGACAGGATTTCTGCAGGGAGGGAAGCTGGGATTTCAGCTCCCTTGGGGCAGGCCTTTGGCAGGCTGTCTCGGCAGGCTGTCTTCACCTTGCTCCTCCTCCTCCTCTTTCTCCTCTTCTTTCTCCTCCTCCTCCTCCTCCTCCTCGACAGCAGGCCCCGACGCGAAGTGACAGATTACGAAGTGACCTTAGCCAGGTGCCGAAGAAGACTCAGTAACGAGGCGATGGGCTCGTGTAGTCGACTCAGTGGGGATCCGAGGCTGGTTCAGGTTCAGGCTGCTCCTCCTCCTCCTCCTCGTCCTGGGCGAAGGCAGCGTGTCTGCCGGGGCCGCGAGTGGCGCAGTTCCAGGCTGGCGGGCGCAGTGAAAGCCTCCCGCCACGCCCGCTGCGCCCAGGCGCTGGAGGGCCGGACGGACCCCGAGGAGGACATGAGGAAGATCAACACCCATTTGGAGCGCTCTAACAAGCCGTCCTCCCTGTGCATGATGATGCTGAAGGACTCTCGGCTTCTTGCGCTCCATCTTCAGGCTCTGCCAAGTCAATTTGAGGGGGAACGAGGGCTCGGGTGCCAAGCCACGGCGGCCTGCCGCTATTGAGCTCCAGCACTTCGGGAGTAGCCTCAGTCCCAAGTGCTGTCTCCGCGGTAGGGGATGAAGAGTCAGCCCCTCTTGCTCTTCTTCCTCCTGATGTTGTTGCTCCTCCTCCCCCATCCGCCCGCTCGCCCACCTCCCAGAAGTTCCTCACTGCGGCATGCCGTTGGGGCATCGGATGAGGGATCCCCACCCCTACGGAGGAGAGGTAAAGCCCCCCTTGCGGAGAAGGAGTAGTTACTCCAGGCATGCTCCTCGCGTCGCGATGCAGCCACTTGTTGACCCCGTGTGCCTGGATTCACGTGTTGACAATTAGCCCTTGAACGTATGCCCACCTGCGGATCCGGAGGTTCAAATTTCACCAGGGCCCCCTTGGGCATCTTCTTGAGCGGGGACCACCTCCAGGTTCCAGCAAGCAGCACTCGAACTTACATCGCGCCCTCCAAGAGGCGAGGCGCGAGTGGTTGTCCGTCTTGGGATGAATCGTGATTTGGATGCAGACCTGCAGGCGCGCAAGAACTATTGCTAGGGTTCGGCAGCCTCTGAGGAAATCGGCTGAGGCAAGGGCCAGGAGCAACAGGGCGCGAGGCCTCATCGTCGAGCGCTGGGGACATTGGCGCTGATCAGCTGATCAGCTCTGTCTCTTCTCGACCACATCGTGTCCCTCACTGTTTGTTCTCATCCTCCTGCTGATGCTGATAGTTCCTTCTCCTCATGCTTCTCCCCCCTCCCTTCCTTCTCCTCTCAACTCGTCGTCCTCCTCCTCCCCTTGCCTCATGCTTATCTTCTCCCCCGTTCTCATCCTTCCTCCCTTTTTTTACCAATTCCGCCGTTCCCTCCTCTGCCTCTTCCTCTCTCCTCCGACCTGTCGCGCCCGTCTCTTTCCCTATCACCTCCCATCTCCCCAGCTCCGACTCCCCTCCCCCTTCCCTCCCCGCCATGGGCTGACGACACGTGGTGCAAAGTGGAGGAGAGCGTGATGCCTTTGCCTCTCAGGTGTTCCCCTCCTCCCACGCCTGGTTGGCCCTACCCGTCCCCTTGCCCCCAGGCTCGCAGGTTTTCCTGCATGAGGATGCGGAGGAAGACTGGTGGGGGAGGAGGAGAATGATGTTGCTGATGATGATAAGGATGATGCTGATGATGGTGCTGATGATGATGATGACGATGATGATGACGATGACGATGACGATGACGATGACGATGATGACGACGATGTTGATGATGATGCTGATGATGCTGATGCTGATGCTGATGCTGATGCTGGTGCTGCTGCAGATGAGGACGATAAGGATGATGCTGATGATGATGCTGATGATGATGATGACCATGATGATGATGATGATGATGATGATGATGATGATGATGTGGATGTGGATGAGGATGAGGATGAGGATGAGGATGAGGATGAGGATGATTATGATGCTGTTGATGCTGCTGCTGCTGATGCTGATGATACTGCTGATGATAGTACTGATGATGACGATGATGATCATGATCATGATTATGATGATGAGTGATGATGATGATGGTGATGATGCTGATAAGGATGATAATAATGATGATGATGATGATGATGATGATGCTGATGATGATGATGATGATGATGATGATGATGATGCGGCTGATGATGATGATGATGATGATGATGATGATGATGATGATGATGATGATGATGATGATGATGATGATGATGATGATGCGGCTGATGATGATGATGATGATGATGAGGAGGAGGAGGAGGAGGAGGAGGCGGAGGAGGAGGAGGAGGAGCACCTCACTTTGCAGACTCTTCCTGCGTCCCCGCCGCGGGCCGCCCGCTTCCCTGTGGGGCCCGAAGACCCTGAAAGCGGGCGACCCCATCGAGGAGTGCACCAAGGCCGCTGCGCCGCCGCGTCGCGCTTCTCGCGGGCGCCGCTCGCCTCCCTTGCCCTCCCCGCGTCCCTCCTTCCCTCTCTCCCTCCCCCTCCCCCTCCCTCCCCCTCTCCCCCCCCTCTCTCTTCCCGCCCTCCCCCCCCTCCCTCCCTCCCTCTCTTCCCGCTCAGCCCGCTCCGCCGCAAAGCTTGCCTTAAGGCGGGGACTATTCAGAAATGGTCCAAATATAGTCTGGGGACGATTTTGTGAGTATTTTTGCTAAGTATGTTTTTTGACCACTTGTTATTTTTCATCCAAAATCACACTGTAGGGGGACGTGCACGACCTAACCGTCGGCCGCGGCCGCGGTTCTCGCCCCGACGACTTCAGCGAGTGGCGCCCCGGGCTGGCCGCACCGAGCGCGCTGCCCAAAGTCGAAGCAGAAAGGTGGCACAAGCAGAAGTTTTTGGCGCTCCGCACAGACTTTTTGCATCCGCGCTGGGCCCCCCCCCCCCGGCGGCGCCTCTGGCACCGCCCCTGGCTCTCCGCGCGTCAGGGAGGGGGGTCTAGCAAATCCGCGCGGAGCGCCAAAAGTTAATACTTATGCCGCTCTTTCTCCTTCTACCACAGGTCCGCGCGGGCGCACTGGACCACCCAGGGGGGAGGCAGCCCACTGGCATCTTCATCGTCCCCGAAGGTGGTTCCTGGGGGGGAGATTCCAGGCGGACTGCATCCCTTGTCGCCGTGGCTGGATTCGGTGACTCCTCGCTTCTGGTCGGTCTTCCTTCCGCCCATGTCCAGGGTGCCAATGGGGGACACGGCCATCCCCTCCATCTCCACGCTGCACTTCGTCCCCAGACCCCCGAAGTCATGTTTTTGTTCACGACGTCGACCCTCAGAGGTCTCGACCCAGCCCCCTGGACCGGTCTTCCATTCTGAGTCGTGACCCCCCTGGCGGCGCCTCCGGCGCCGCCCCTGGCGCGCTCCGCGCGCCAGGGAGGGGGGAAGGCTTCTCAGAGAGGCACCCCTGCTTCTTTCAGGGGAGCGTAAGACCTGGGTTTGCCAGGACTCGGGTTCGCCATCGTTTTTTGACGACCGCGACTCGGATTTTGACGAGGAGGAGTTTCGTGGGATGTCTGCAGCGGGAGGCCTCGTCAAAATGCAGGCTCGGCCTCGTCATTTTTTTGACGACCTCGTCGGGGATTTCCGAGTCTTCTGTACCCAGGTCTTACGTCCCCCTGATTCTTGGAAGGAGCCATGGCCACGGGGGAAGCGGGCCTCGAGGGACACGGGCCCCGAGATGCCGCGCCGCCCTCGGGCCACCGAGGCCCTCCGCGGGCCTCGGGAGCTGCCAGCACGCGGGCCAGGATGCAGAGCTGGTCCTCAGGGGCAGGTCCTGCTCCTGCTTCACCTCCTCCTCCTCCACCTCCTCCTCCTCCTCTTCCTCCTCCTCCTCCTCCTCCTCCTCCTCCCCCTCCTCCTCCACCTCCTCGTCCTGCTTCTCCTCCTCCTCCTCCTCCTCTCCTCCTACTCCTCGCTTTCCTTTTGCCCTCCTTTCCTCCTCTGCCCTCCCCCCCGGGGCCCGGGTCGGGCCGCGATGTGTCGGGCGAAGCGAGCTATGCACATGCGCCGATCCTGGCAAGGCCCATCCTTGACCCAGGAGTGGTGCACGTGCCTTCCCGGCCAAGGTGGGAGGGCGTATGCACCGATCCTGGGCTCAGGATGGGCCTGGCCAGCCTCGGTGTATGTGCATCGTTCTTTCTCCTCTAGGTTTGCGCTCCCCCCCCTCTTGGACACCCCCCTCTTGGACGTGGGGGCCGCGCATGGAACACATCAGCGCATCGGACCTCTGGGGGGCGAGGCTGGGCGAACTCGTGCTGGCGCGTGCCGGAGCGCGCTCGCAGAGCGCTCTGCAGCGCTCCAGGATTCGGCCGCGGCGACCGCTGCCATACCCACATCCTCCAGCGCCGCCAGATCTCAGAGATGTCCGATGTGTCCCAGCCCGATTCTGTTCCGCCCGAACGCCCCGGGGGGCCAGCGGGTGTCCTGGTCGTGGGTCTGGTATGCAAGACTCCCTCCCTGGGGCGTGGTTTCTGTATACTGAAGGTGGTACCAGGCGTGGAATCTGACTTGGGCGGGGAGGGTGTGGTAAACAAACGGATCTTCGGGATTTGTTCCGGTTTTGGCTTCGTCTCGCAGGGGTGGGGGGGAGGGGAGGAGAGGCATGGAGGGGCTGCGAGAGGTTTCCGACAGCGGATCGGGAATCGAATCGCCCCCCTCGCCAGCCCGCGCTAGCGTTAAGTCGGGCATGTCCCTCTACAGGAGGGATATTCAAAAATAGTATGAAAATATTCGATGTTTGAATGCTAATGTTCACAAGTGATTTTTGACTGTTTTTAATCGTTCTTCCAATATCCGCCTGTAGGAGGGCATGCTAACACTAGCGGAACGCCGAGAAGGGAGAGCCGTCAGAAACTGCCAGGGTGCAGAAGGTGCATGCCTTTTGTTGATCTATTCTTATTTTAAGAAGAGAGCAAACATCCGTAACCACGTTATAACATCGCCATCCTCCTATTTCAGGAACCGGTGCTTAATGTTGCTTGGGCGGCCAGGACCCGAACTACTTCAACCGCCCCCCTGCTTCATGTTTCCATCGACTTCTTTCGAGCGGCCTGACGTTGGGCGCGACGACTGTCTGCCATCCTGGACCGTTTCTCCCACCGCGCCCGCGCGGAGTGATGCTAACCCGCGTCTGGCGAGAAGAGAGCCCGCGGGCTCCCCACACCTGCCCTCCACGGCTCGCACTGCGGTCGCGGGAGAGCCCAATTTCTGCGCAACGGTGCCCTCCGACCAGCCTTCTTGGAAACAGCATGACGCGATTCATGAGGACGAGAAGCCCAGAGGATCCCTTCTCAGAAGCCTTGGAGGCCTCAGACGCCTGGGAAGCCTTCGACGTGGCATCGCTCGGACGAGTGTTTTTTTTTGTTCGGCAGGGACCATCGTGGAGCATTCTGGACCATCCTGCGACAAAAAAACGCACGAAACCGAAACATGCACGTGAAATGGACGTCCGAGCGATGGCGAGTTGAGCTCCAGCAAGTCTCAGAGGGCTCCTCAGAAGGCTCGAGGGCTTCTAAGAGGGCCGCCCTGCTCTCGCCTTCCTCTCGGCCCGCCGCCAAGACGGTGTCGGCGATGCCGCGCGATCTGGAGTATGGTCTCCTTCATTCCGACGCCGCCCATCCATCGCCGATGCATCGGTGAGGTGGTGCCATCCTCCGACCGGCGAGGTGGTACCATCCTCCGACCAAGTCTATTCTCGGGGGTGGACAGACCTCATACCCTGACACGTCGACTAAGGAATTGGCCGTTCTCGGTTCGCGAGAGGGCGTCGCGGCCGTCATTTTTGCCGGTCCAGGTCCGTCGGTTTCGGTCCCAGGCCGTTTTCACTAAGGGGAGGTCTACTAAAGGGAGTATTGTCCACCGCCGATGCTCCGGCCCCACGCGGGCCACAAAATGTGACTGGCTGCGTGGACATTCGCGCGCAAACTGCAGGCGTAAGGACGCGCGGGAGCGTCCTGTTCGGGAGCCTTCCGACGGGGGCCAATGCAAACGGAGATCAGCCAAAGCGCCGGATTTTGTAGGACACTCCAGAGCCAGGGGTGCACTGCCCCAGATCAGCGCGCATTATCCTGCAGGATCCTGCATCGACTGCACGTACGGGTGACCCTTCGCCAGAGTGACCTTTGGTGCGGGCCCACTGGGATTTATCGATCGCCGACCGCGATGCGGTACCCGATTGCAGGATCTTGCAGGATC